GGGAGGCGAGGCCCGGTGGCTGACACCGGCAATGCCGGTTTTAACGTGCCCCGAGCTTCACCATGCTCTGAGGCCGCACCCGCCCGGTCCAGTGTCAGCGCCAGGCGGGACACGGAGCCTCGGGGAAGGCGGGAGCGAAGCCGTCCGGCCTCTCAGCGTCTCCTCCTCGGCGTCTCAAGCTGAGGAAGATATCGCTGCCGCTGAAATTAAATACAGGATATTTTTCACAACAACATCAAAATACTCCGATTAAGTTATTAAAAGGGTGTCAATGTAGCGAGAACGCGTCGCGGACACCTCACTAGCGTGGGCGTGGAGCCCGCCGTAAGTTCTGTCAGTTCGAACCGGCCCTCGCTCCTCCTCGGGGACAGGGGACCCGGGACAGGACCTGGGCTTACGTGGTATTTCTGTAATTAACGGAAGTACTTTCAGTAATTAACGGCAGAATCCAGGAGCCTGGGAAAAGACAATTATTTACATATACTGTAGCATTGACTCTGTTCTAAAATACGGAACCTGGAATTTATTCATTGCTGCAAAGTTCAGGGTGTATTTTCTGTGATTTTAATATGCTCACGGGAACAAACTTTACAGTGCAGTAATACAAGATTTTGCAAACCCACAGAATAATCCCACCGTGTTCAGAGTTGCCCCTTGGAGGCTGGGTTCTTGTTTTGCTGCAATAGCTTTCTTTGGTGATTTATTTTATTAACTAAAGCTACAAAGCTGTAAACACTTAACTGACAATTGCATTTGAAAAGTGGGTTGAGATGCTTCATATTCCATTCAATGAGTATGCTAATTGCTCTCACCAAAAGAAACATAGTTTTTCACTAAATGTTGTGTACATTGCATTTTTCAAATATCTTTAAATTTACTGTTTGTCTCCTTTGCAAGCATACAATTTATTTTTAAAGGTGGCCAGAAAGAGATAAGAAAGACTCTAGTTCATATCCGTCAGCTCTTGTCATTACAGATTGCAGCAGAGAGAATTTGAAATATTGATTAATGCAGTAGAGCAGTCCTTGGTCAAGATACTGGGCTGGATTAGTTCTAACCATACCTACCAATGCAACTTTGAAAAAGTCTGGTTTTGATCTATAAAATAGTAAAAGTCTGGACTGGAAGATGTTGTAATGTAGGGATTGTTTAGAGATTAAATATTCCTGAAGCTACAGCTTTCCATTTTTATTTGTTTTTCAAAACAGGGCAACAGGCTATTTTGTTTACATATGCAAAACTGACTAGACACTGAAAGAAAGCTTCAAGAAGAAAATCAGTCACAATTTAACATCCAGTAGAAATACTGGGTTTCGGCTGGTACACAGGTCTAGGAGGGCCTTTTATTGTTCTCTCCAAAGAAGAAATCAAAGCACTGGTAATACTGATTATCTTCATATGCAGGCAGAAGACAGGTTGTGCTTCTCACACTGAAAATACACTGTTACGTGTCTAAATGTTAACTAATTGTTTTTCACAACTACTGTAGTAAAGATTCTAAAACTACATTTAACTGTCACAGTAAATTCCATCTATCACCCCTACTCTTGTGACGCCCAGAAATAGACAAACAATTCTGATACTAGACAAACTAGTATCATATCAGTTGATGCCAAATGAAGCACGACATGATCCCCACATTCAGGAGTTTACAACAGCACCTTGTTAAACCTAAAGGATGATTTGTTTAAATACAAGAAAAGCATTTTCAGTTGTGTGGATTAATGTCGAATGCTTGAGAAGATGACATGGTGATAAAACGTTGCCACAGGATGGAGTTGCCTTTGTGAGAATAAGGCAGCAGGGAAAAAACACAAACACAAGAGTACAAGAGGACAGATTTGTTAGCAGAACAAACTCACTAATAGAAAAGCAGGATCAGAACTATGAAACATTCAAAAATACCAAAATCTGAAATCTGCTGTGAAAAAGAAAAAAAAATATTTACATATTATTTATATCTCCAGAACAGAATACTACACACAGTGATAGAAAAGGAAAATTACTGAAACTACTCAGTTACAGGTAGAGGGGAAGAAACCAAATGACACCTACAGAGTGCACATAATTTAGGAAGAGTAGGGAATAAGCAGTCTTTCAAGATGAAAGAATATGTCATAGCTATTTTACATGTTCTAGTAATTCCACAAAGTCTTTATGTATATTTAAACAGGATTACAGTGAAGGTTCTAGAACTGTACAAATGTCTCAAATTATTTATTTTGTTAGAGTGAATATTACATCTAGTTTTAAAAGCTTGCAAATGTTTGCTTTCCCCTAATGCAAACAAAAGGTAAATGCAGTTATGCAAAAGTATACTCTTTCACATGCAGAAAGAGTTGAGATCTTTTCAGATTAACATCAAAAAACAAGCAGAGCTAACAAATTAGTTTCAGGTATTTTGATGTTACAGGATTATGTTTTGCTTCTGCCTAAAGTAATTCCAAGCAACATTGATCCATTTCATGTCACCAAGAGTTTCTATCCCATAAGCATCCCAGTGAAGATTAGCTCAATAAAGCTGGAAATAGTTTTAGCCAATTTCTCTGCGGAGCAATCATAGCTTTACTGGATACACTGGAAGTGTGCCAAGACTGGGTTTGACCTCTTGAATTACAGGAAAGTTGCTGAGCATCCGTTTCTAAGGGGTGTCACTCTGCATCCAAGTAAGACAATAAATGAGGAAGAATAGATTTAAACATAGTAACATTTCCTTAAATAGGAGTGGGAAAAAACTTACAGCATCTGTATCCTTCAGCTTGTTGCATTTATCAGGAACAATTTACAAATACAGTGGAAACAAAGGAGAAATTAATTAGCTTTCAATTAAACCATGCCTGGGAAAAATATAAGACATTTAAAGGAAAGCCACAAAAATTAATGAAGATTGAAAAAAGGGAATTATTTAGTTCCTAGAAGTCAAGATTTGTTTCTAGGAACTGAAATAAAGTTGTAGTTTAATCTACTCCCATTAGGTCACAGGCAACCCTTTCTTAAGAAGGAAAAAGTTCAATTTATAAAATGTCAAAATGGAAAAATGTCTGCAGGCTGCAAATCTTAATAGAAGAAGAGAGAAATGAGACTTTTTGCAGAACAGGGATACTTTTTATTGCTAAAGCCAAGAATTTCAATGCTGGACAGGAACACAGGATTTATGATAATTTTGTAGATTATGATTGTCAAAATGCTTCAAATCCCACCATGATTTTGAGAAAGCCCTTTTACTGATTTATTCAAGTCCTGTTTGAAAATTATTATATTCCTGGAAACTCCTAAGTCTCTTGGACATTTCCCTTTGTTGATCTGTGGAGCCAGATCAGGCTATTTTCTAAGAAAACGGAAGGATAAGTGTTCTTACATGCACTCGGTGTCTGATAGGCTGTAACTGAAAGTGGATGCTGTATGCACATTGATGTAGGGCACTATTACTTGGTAAATTTCAAATAAATGTGTGGTGGGCTGGATGCCAGATGCCCACCAAAG